CAAGCCTTGCACTTGCATGTCTTGGGGTTTAGGGTTTAGGGTTTAGGGTTTAGGGTTTGGGGTTTGGGGTTTAGGGTTTAGGGTTTAGGGTTTAGGCTCTAGGGTTTAGGGTTGAGGGTTTTCCAGAAACCTTTTTCCCCTCAATCCCTCAACCCCAAAAACCCTGAAAACCAGAAGCCCCCAAAAAGTCTGAAGGCACCCGAAAAATCCCCTTAACCTTAAACCCCTAACTTCACCCTGAGCTTGAGCATACCTTTCTCAAAAAAACTACTCTTGTTTTGGATTTGTATGTGTTGTATGAACAGTAGGGTTTAGGGTTTTATACTGTGTTACAGAATCATGCATAAGGCCAGCAGCAACCGTCGAGGCTTGTGAGCGCAGTGCAAAATCGTCGCCCGAAAAATCCTTGCCCTAAACCCTAAACCCTAAACGCTAAACCCTAAACCCTAAACCCCAAACCTTGTGAACTTCCATGTTCGCTCGGGGCTGTGGTGCACACCGCCCAGGCTTCCGAGGATGTTGTTGCTGTGAGCAGTGAGATTGATGGCCAGATGGGGGAGATTGGATGTCTGGCAAGGTCATGCAGACCCCTGGCCCCAAACCCTAAACCCTAAGCCCTAAGCCCTAAACCCTAAACCCTAAACCCTAAAGGGCTTTTCCTCAGCAGGGGGGGGGGGGGGGGGGTTCAGGGTTTCGGGCCGGCAAACCACAAACCCAAATGCCCTTGTGGTTCGGACAGTCTCTGTAAGATCATCGGAAGAACCTAAGACCCTTAGGGTTTTAGGGTTTAGGGTTTCGGGTTTAGGGTTTAGGGTTTAGGGTTCAGGAATTGTTGCTGCTACTTCTCTGTGGGGCTGGCAGAGTTCGATCAACCCCCCGTGTCTCTTTATGGATCGTTGTGCCAATGCTGTGGCCCGCGTGCGGCTTCAGAATCCAAGCCCTGGCATGCGGGGAGACGAGGCCATCAAACGGTGTCAGGGGGCACTGCGTTTATGGCGCAGGGTCCCTAAACCCCAAACCCTAAACCCCAAACCCCAAACCCTAAACCCTAAACCCTAAACCCCAAACCCTAAACCCTAAACCCTAAACCCTAAACGCGTTGCATGTTGTCGTTTGGCAGGCCTTGGTTCTTTGAATGGATAGGGGGACTCGCAGGTCCACAGCGATTGAGGGTTTAGGGTTTAGGGTTTAGGGTTTAGGGTTTAGGGTTTAGGGTTTGGGGTTTGGGGTTTGGGGTTTGGGGTTTGGGGTGTAGGGTTCAGGGTTTTGAAGGTTTAGGATTTTGGGGGCGTAGGCTTTTCGGGGTTTAGGGTTCGTGGATTTATTGGGTTTAGGGTTGCTAGGGTTTCGGGCTTAGGTTGGTTTAGGTTTTTGGGGTGTTCGGGGGTTCATAGGGGTCCCAACTTTAGCTTCGACTTCCAAAAAACAGGCGATTAAGACTCGGGCCCCTAAGTTGCACCCCTAAGAGGTTCCCTGAATGTGCTCCAAACATGGTCCTTATATTGGCTTAAAACAGGGTCCCCAAACCCAAAAGTGCAACCTTACGGGTCCAAAGTAGAGCTGCATAAAAAAAAAAAAAAAGAAAACACAAGGGATTCCTACCTCGGATCCCGGAGGATGTACCCCTACTTGGGCCTCTGAGGGCTTTTGCCTACTCCCTCTTCGGGGAAATGTACCCTTTTACGGGGGTATAACCTCAAGGGTTAGGCTAGGATGCCCAGTAGTGCCCTTATTCCCTTCTTGGGGGCTCTAGGTTCCCCTATAAACCCCTTAAGCAAGCAAGGGCACCTTTTTTAATCCTAGGTTACTGGGCAACCTAGTAGGGGTGGGGCCCTAAACCCTAAACCCTAAACCCTAAACCCTAAACCCTAAACCCTAAACCCTGGGGGATTTAGGGGTTTAGGAGTTCAAGGGTTTAGGGGCTCAAGGGCCTGGATTTCTCGAAACCGGCGCCGGGCCGTTTGCCAACGAACATGTGGACCATCCGGGGATGGGGGGTTTCTCCGAATGCCAGAAATTGGCGACGGTAGGGTTTAGGGTTTAGGGTTTAGAGTCAGTAAACCCTCAGTTCGCGTCATGGGTTTAGGGTTTAGAGTGGACACTTAACCTAAACCCCATAAACCC